AGGTCACCAGCAAGCTTGACACAGGTGCTTATCACACTCTTCCAGTCTTTGTGTCAATCTCCATTTCATCTATTGACACCATCTCTAGTCCTTGCCTTGGGGAGACTGTTCTCATGTTAGTTCACTTTACTTCTCATTCTCAAATCCAGACAGAACTGGCTTCCAGCATTTCTAGTATCTAGTGAAGCAAGGACCCTAATCCTCGATACCATCCCCAGGCCCGCTCCTGCCATCTCCATGCAATGGTTCACTCCCCAGAACTAAGTCAAAGTTGCCCTTCTCAAAAATCACTGAACCTTGATCTCTTAGCCAATAAGATTTTCATCTACCAATGATTCCATAAAACAACTTCTTATCTGTTCAGAATACAGAACAGAACATACTACCCACAGCTTTATTTACAATTTCAATATTTTATATTTATTTATTCATTCATTTCAAATATATCCATTTTTTCTACCATTTTCAGAGGCTACTAAAATGATAATCATAAAATTTTTAAAATAATAAATTGTACTTGATCAGAATGAAAAATTTCTACTAATCAAAGATATTATTTAAGAAATGAAAAAGCAAGCATTTGGTATACGTACATCTAATAAAAGGCATAAGTGTACAGTTCAGAATATTATGGATGAAAAAAGGGCTTCTGTGAAAAGAAAGCTCACAGGGTGATCTGATCATAAATTCCTAAATGGGCATGTCATGGTGGGTGGTAATGCCTCAGGCATATAACTTCTTTTTAAATATGTTTTTATTGATTTCAGAGAGAGGAAGGGAGAGGGAGAGAGAGATAGAAATATCAGTGATGAGAGAGAGTCATTGATCTGCTGCCTCCTGAACGCCCCTACTGAGGACTGAGCCCAAAACCCCAGGTGAAACACCCTGGCATGTGCCCTCACTGGGAATCAAACTGTGACATCCTGATTCGGGAGTCAATGCTCAACCAAAGCCACACCAACTGGTTCTAACTTCTTTAGTTAAAGGTTTATCTTTGCCTCAAGCAAGCCCTGTCCATTGTTTCCGTGCATCTAGATTGCCGCACCTATAAAGTACCTCTTTTCAGACCTTTTAATATGTGACAACCAATTCAGACCCCTCCTTAAAAGCCTGACCACCCTCAAGAGAGCACATAATCATAACTATTCTATAATCTGATTCCCGTTGCCTTGTTTTCTTTCACCTTCTGATAATCTTTTATACTTTTTTTAAATTTCAAATGCATAAAAGAAACTGCAAACTGTTATTCTCTGAAGCATTTATTTCAGTCTGTTTAGCTCTTGCCTCCAGGTGTATCCTCTGTTTGGCTCAAATCAATTTTAATAAAAACTCTCTACCAGCCAGGCCAGATGGACTCAGAGGTTGAGCATCCACCTATGATCCAGGAGATTGAGGTTCGATTCCCGGTCAGGGCACATGCCCAGGTTGCAGGCTCGATCCCCAGTAGTGGTTGTGCAGGAAGCAGCTGATCAATGACTCTCGCATCGATGATGTTTCTATCTCCATTTCCCTACCTTTCTCTGAAATCAATATAGTTATATTTTAAAAAAAAATACCAACTCTCTACCAAAAAACAATAATAATAAAATGACTGAAACCAAAAATAAATCTACAGGTTTGGACATACTTTTGTCAACAATATATAAGTACTCCTACAAATAAATAAGAGTATAAGAAACCACCTGATTAACTTGATTAATAATGAGCAAAAGACCTGAAAGGACTTGTCACAAAAGGTATCTGAATAGTTTATAAGATATACATCTAAAAATATCAACATCATTAGTCACTAGGGAATACACACCCATTAGAAAGGCTAAAGTAAAAAAAATGACACCAGTTGTTAACATGGATGTGGAACAATTGGAGCTCTCACACATCAGTAGCGTTACAGTGCAAAAACGGTGGCACGACCTTGAAGAACTGGTTGGCAAATTCCAATAAAGTTAAACATATACTTATCATATGACCCTACAAGTCTGCTCCTAGGTGTTCATCCAACAGAGAAGAGAACGTATCCACAGGGAGACTTGTTTGAGAATGTCCATAATAACTTTACTCAAAATAGTTAAAAATTGAAAATAAAATAAATATCCACTGTAAACAAAAGTCCGGGGCTATTTAAAAATAAAAATTAAAGAGAGTTTATTTAGATAATGATTTGCCCTCAGTACCAACCAAGAATATGTTTCAAAACGGAGGGGGTAGGACAGGGTTTACAAAGGCAAAAGTTAGGAGTTGTGGATGGAAGACGCGGGTCGCTGGGGTTAAGGCCCTCAACGAGCGTCGTTTGCTGTCTGACCGGTAGGGGGCGGCAGGATTTCCACGGCTGGCTGACTCCGCGACCGTGCAGGCGGGGTGTGAGGTGAAAAGTGGGTAATGTGAGTAAGCCTTTGTCAAGTCCTAGTCCGCCGGCCCGTAGCACGGGAAGGCTGTCGCCAGGGGCCCCCGGGAGGTCACCGTCCCCGGCTCTGTCGGGGTGGCCGGGGAGCCCAGGGCGCCGCCGGGTGCTGAGCGGCCCCCTCCACGGCGTGGGAGAGAAAGCCGGCCTGAGCCTGCGCCCCCGTGCCTGCGGCTTCTCAGTCCTGCGGACAGTGGCCCAGGGGACAAACCATGCAGGAAATACCTAGGAAAATTAAAAATTAAATTTTATAGAGTAAAACTAAATAAATATATATTTTTAAAGGCTGTCTTTTTTTTTCTTTCTTGTGCACCAGCCAGTGACTTTTAATTGAGGTAACTATCAAAGGCACCGCACCTTTCAAGCCTTCGAACTCCGCAGTGTTTAACAGCGGCTTTATTAAAAAGGCTGCCCTTGGTCACACAACTCTAGGACGGGGATAATTATTTAACAACGGTGGAAGGATTACAATTTATCAAATAGCACGACCAGCATAAGAGTGATGCTCCGTCTTGCAGGCAGTTTTGGAGCTCACCGAGGCAATCCCGCTCCAGCCGGGAGGTGGCGGCCTGCAGCCCACACCGCCTTGGAGGGACTTCGGCTCGGGGCTCCACTTGGGGGCGCTTCGGGCCGGCTTGCGAGCCTCCTTTCCCCCCTGGCGGAACCATCAGGCTGCGTCCCTGGTTTCTAGGGGTTTGGTAATCAGCGAGCACCTGCCACTTCCCGGCGCTTCCGCGCAGGCCCGGGCGCTTGCGGGACCCCGAGTGCGGAGCGACCCC